CTAAACGCAATTTTTTGGTCGAAATTCTCCATAAAGTGCTTAAAAACGCCTTTTTTTCAAAAGTTTGACTGCGGCGCAGAAAATTTCATTAAATTTGCGTCTTTATAGGGGTTTGGGAGAGCTCAGAAAATCAATTTGGTCGACATAAAAAAAGATCGGCAAAATTTTCAATTTTTTTGAAAATCTGCCCCCTTCGAAAAGTTCCTAGATCCGCGCCTGTTAGGGAGCTTTAGAACCCAACTGCGCAAAGGATTTCGAGGTTTCGCAATTATGATGTAATACATAATAATTTCTCAATTATGATGTAACTCAATTCAACTCGACGTCATTTTTGATATGAATTCTGTTTCAATTACCGGTGTTTCTGCCGCAGTTTTAAGCCATATTTAACCGTTTATCGTTAAAAAAAACAAGAGGAATCCAATAAAGACAAGAAATTGAAAGTTAGGAATGGAAATGGAAAGATTGTTCTATTCTTTTCTGTTTTGTTTTGGCTGATATTTTTTCTGGTTTTCTTTTTCCTTCATCTGAAATCATGAGATGCAGCATTCGATTATAGTTATACAGTGCCCGGTTATCCTTCTTTAAGGCAGAGAAAAGTCAATTTCGAAAAGACTTGATCGTTCGTAATTCATTCTGGTATTGGTGTGCAGTTGCTTGTCGCTCCGCGTTTTTAGTGGAGTAAATTTTCGGAGGTGAAACAGCGAGTTTCCGCTGATGTTGTAGCACTAAACCTAACATTTAATGTCAGCAATGACTGCGAGACGACTCAGCAAAAAGTTCTATTAAACTCAAAACTCAATAGATATGATCAGGCATTTAAGCAAATGAGAATCAAAGTGTAACTAGAGATCGGTAAATTTTGGGTTTTGTATCGTTTGAAAATGTTTTCAAAATTTTTTTATACCACTTTAAAGCTCAAATCGAAGTCCTTGATACAATTACATGAATTTAGCGTTTCCAGCCTGGCTAATTTTTAAAAAGATCTAAGTTGCATCAGCGTTCAAAAAATGCGTGTATCAAAAGTTTTCCCCTGCCATATATGAACACATTTCAAGACCACAGTGAGCAAACCTCATGGCAAGCTCTCTTTTGTTGGATTGGTAACAGAATTCCCGCAAACCACATCACAATGCGTAAAGTGAAAGTTATAATGAGTGTCTACTGGGGCCTTCGGTCTTAAAGTGGTTAAGTTTCCGGCTACCATTCCGCCGTTGGTGTAGTTCTTGCGCAGAAATACCAGGAGTTGAAGAAGTTATGCGATGTCCTTTTCTTTTTTTTTTCGTCACAAGAAGCGTTCTACCTGCTGAAGAAATGCTTCTCAATTGTGAAGTTGATGTGCGTTTTCAGATTTTCAACTAGTTTCCAGTTTCCCAAGAAGTTTGGCGGTATCTCCGAAACTAATCGTACTGGATTTGAGAAGGTTACCAACGTCAATATTGGAAATAGGGCCTGGTAATATATTATAATGCCGTCAAGAATGGGCGGATTTGGCGCGCAGACATTGTGATTTTGCAACAGAAGTCTTCCTTTCTTCCTTAGTCTCCAAAAAGCAGTTGTTTGTTGCCTTGCACGTCCAGTGTACCATTCATACTTTTGCTTCCGACATCTTACTTGAGCCGACATCTGGCTGAACCAAGCTGATTATAATAATAATAATCATAATAATGGGATTTAGAGACTAAAGTCTCAAGGGTATGTTTCAACCCGATAACAGTCGGAATCTAAGCGAGGGAGAGTTTCGGCAATTTGAGCATCGACAGAGCATCTTCCAAGTGCACAAGTTGTCTGTGTCATAGACGTCAGTCGCGAAGTTCTTGTACAGTCGAGTGAGGCGCTGTTTCAGACCAGCGGGCTGATGGAAGTTGACGATCGGGTCAATAAAGTTCGCTAATCGTGAACACCTGTTCCAGAAGTTGTTTTCGCATTTGGTATACCGGTAATTCTAGACATGAAAGGCAACAGTAGTAGTACTCCTGGTAGTCGATGGCGCAGAGAAGCGTACATGTGAAGACCAGTCATAATCGTATTTTCCATTTAATATTGAAGAAAAGAGTAAGAGATCATGAAGTTCAATGTATAGACAAATAGGCAGAAGAGCGAGCTGAGCCAATCTTTGCTTATAGGGTAGAGGTGTAAAATTTAAAATCCATTTGGTTGCATGCTGCTGCACTTGCTCAAGATTCTTTAGTTCAGAACGATTAGCACAATAAACTGGCGAGCCATTTAGAAGGACTGGGACGATAAACCCACAATAAGCATGAAGTTTAGTGAAAGAGGCACAAGAGTCAGTTGTGTTGCGCTTGATAAGAAGCAGACTTTTTGTAGCTTTGGAGTCCCGAGAATTGGTGTGATGTGACCATGTCAGTTTGTCAGTGATGAAGACCCCGAGATCACGTTCTTTACTATCGTGATGAATGGTAAGATTACTGCAGTGTACGTCTCGAGGTGTACCGCGAAACCAAATGGTCTTTCTCTTGGTTGGATTAATTGACATGTAGTTATCAGCGCACGAACGAATGATAGTATTCGCATCATTTGACAGATCCGGGAATGACGTTGACCAGAGTTTGATATCGTCTGCGAAGGCGGAATTAAGGCAGGTTAAGGAGGTAAGCAAATCGTTCAAATAAATGAGAAACAATAAAGGTCCAAGCATGGAGCCTTGGGGAACACCACTTGTGATAAGCAACGCCTGTGAAAGTTTCTCGCCAACTCTAACCCTTTGGGAACGACCAGTCAGGTAGCTTGTGACAAGGGAGATTAGCTTTCCTTTTACACCGATTTGGTGGAGCTTGCGAATAAGTGCAGAGTGTGATACACGATCGAAAGCTTTCTCAAAGTCCATGTACAACGTCAGTAATTCATTGACGCTCAAATCATTGTATTTATCATACAGATTGTCGAGGTACTGAAGGAGCTGCAAATTAGCAGACCGATTTCGCAGGTATCCAAATTGATTCGATGACAGCTTAGGTCTCACAAAATCGTAAAGCTTATTGAATATTACACCCTCAAATATTTTACTGGCCGCAGGTAGCAGTGATATCGGTCGGTAACAGGAAACCAAGGACTTGTTACCATCTTTGAAGATTGGAACGCTTTGGAGATTTATTTCCATGAAAGCTTCGTCAAACAGAGCAGCTGGACATCTAATTACAAGACGAAGATATCGTCCCCGCTAGTTCTTTGTGATAGCCAGGACAGCGGTAGTCTCTTTGGTTGTGCTTCCCGAGATTCAGGAGACTGGATTGACGTTCTACCTTCAATTTTGCATCTAGATTTGACGAATGAAGAGTTCTGTGTTGCCACTGATTACTGCCCGTAATACGAGCACTTTTGAGTGCATTTGCAGTTCTTTCTGAGACACCAACGAGCACACGCACTCAGCTGTCCTAAAATCAAAGCACGTTTCCAACGACGCAATAACTGCTAACTTCTCATTAAACAAATTTTACTGACTGCCGGCCTATCATCAAGCTTGGAGCTGCTGCGACTGTTAAGGGAAGATGGCAGACGTACCGTTAGTTTCACGTTGTCATCCTGGAAGCAAGGGAAGTGATTGAAAAAGATTTTAGTTGTGAGAATCGATTAGCAAAGTCTCATCAGAGAAAAGAAACTCACAAACAGTTACCAATGATTATGAAAACAGAAAGCGATCACCTTATCCTGATTTGCTGGACCATGTTATCTTCGAGCCATTTGCCGTGGAAAGCTTGGGGGAATCGGAGAAGGCAGTCTAAAGTTTGTTAAAGACTTTTCGATAAGAATTGCTGAGCACACCGGTGAAAAGCGGTCCTACGTCTTTGTAAGACAAAACATTAGTCTGCAAGTCCAACGAGGAAACGCTGCGTGTCTAGCCGAAGCCACATACCTGGCAACAAAATTTTCTTTTAAAACCTGACTGATTAACAAATTTTTTCTAAGTTTAACACGTTTTTTGTTTCTGTTTACCGGCAGAAATTAATTAAAAAAGGAGAAATAAAAATTTTCGGGCTGATTAATTTTTCTTGTAGGATAGAGTTTTAAAAAACGTGATGACTATTTAGACTTTCACCGTCAAAATTTATCTAGCATGAATACAAAACTCAAAAACGTTAGTTTCACATTAAGTCATCTTAAACGATCCATTAGGGTATAAACCATTGAAAGTTTCAACGTTTTCTTCTGACTTTCTCGGAATATATTGCATCTATCGTCAAAAATTGAGTACGATAACCCTATCCGGGGTAAGTAATAATCAGACTTCGTATTTTTCGAATTCAACCGTATGCCAATATTGAAAGGTTTGCGTAGGAATGCCGTTCTCTTTACATGAAATAAAACCACATCTTTTCTTTTTGAAATATTGGTCCAACTTCATTTTAGAAAATCTGTGATCACTGGGGAAATAATTTGCCTAATGTAACATCAGATAGCAATTGGATTCTTGTTTCATCGGGACTGGTTGGTTCAAACTCTCTAATTGACAACATATGCAGATCAAATAGCGAGGAAACTTCAATTTCAATGAGCCGTTGTCAAACTCAAATATCGATCGACATGTTTTTGGTCTGACTACATACTTTAACTTAATTAGGTCTGTTTTCAGTTTTTTTTGTAAAAAATACGAACCTCCGAAAAATGCGGTGAATTGTGAACGCAGTAATGAGTTATATTGTATAATATAAAATCTCCTTTTCCTTGTTAGATTCCCAAAGGGATCTCAAAAGATACTTCAAATAAGTTTAACGAGCCCCAGGTGCTGTTTTTGTGCAGTCTCCAACCTATTAGCATGTCATATTAAATTACTTTTATCTAATTAACAAAATGTAAAAGTTCCAGTTCCGCTACTTTTGCGACACAAATTACCGTTTATTTATCCGTAAAGAAAAAAGGCGAAGATCTGTACCCTAGCAACTTAACCATTGTGGCGTCAACAATTTTTTTTTCACGGTAGTGGTTTTTTTAACATCTGCTTTGAGCGTTCAAATGACAACTACTCTTGCATTGTACTTGAGTTGAAAAGCTCCTTTCACTGAACAAAATGACGCAAATTCGACAGTTATTTCCCTCGAGTAATGTTTCTTATTTTACTACAAGTTCATTTTTGCTTCTTTTTGCATCCAATTTACGTTTTTCCACTTTTAAAATAAAGAACCCATTGAGTTAAAAACTATGCAATTTCCTTTAAAATGGTTTGTAAAAAAACAAGCCATGTGTTAAATCTCAATAATACCTGTACAGTTAATGTAAAATATAGCTTTACCCCAGAAAACATTTTTTATCAGGAGGAGTAACTTTCCGCCCAATGAGTTTTCTGGTCAGGCTAATAATGGACAATGTTGTCAATATAAATCTGTTTTGCTGATCCAAACAGACGAAGAAACAATTTTGATTTTTACAATTCTTCCTTCATTATTCAGACCACCCGATTTCGGAATTTTTAGCTTAGAAAACTTGGAAACTTTAGCATACATATTAATTTCATGGATTCCAGAAGCGGAAACAAAAGCGCCAGAATGAAATTTTTGCATCTTTTCATTCAGGAAATATCCTTGCTCCTCGAGGACTCCACCGCGCATGGAATGGAGAGAATTGGATCGGGACCGCGTAAAAGGTCAATCTTCTGGATCCTGACCTTCTTTCTGTCCATGTTTATGGTCAGCAGCCAGTGCTGGACACTGATTGGTCAATATCTGAGTTACGGAAAGACAGTTTCAATTGCGCTGAGGGAGGAAAAATTGCCCCAATTTCCGTATATTACCTTTTGCAGTGAGTTCTTTGTTCCTGATGATGTTGAGCCGAGTCCATACTTCGTGGAATTGACTAAACTGGCGAAAGAACACATCACAGCTCAGCAAGGTCAGTTGAAAGCGGACTCCTAAAGTCTATCTCAGACTGTACTTGAGTAACTTAGCCTTCCTGAGTAACGATGAAAAAGTTTATATTTGCTTTTTTATAGGTTCACGTTCAATAGTTTTTTTAAAATCCAAAGTCGGTAGCTAAAACCTGTAGCTTGTCTAAAGATAAACAGCTTTATTATTCAGTTTTTTTTGTCTAGAATTAGCAATTCGAGCATGACCTCCTGTGTCGTCTTTTGTTTCAGTGGACATCAGCACAGAGACGGATATCAACAAGATCCCCGAGATCATGGAAGCCTACAACGTCGGCAACATCTCCGCCGAACACATGGTCGACATCTGGTACGAACTAAAGGAACAGATGTTCAACATCACCGATTACATGTAGGGGCAACAAATACATCAGACAATTAAAAACAAAACGGTATCTTATCTTTTGTGTCAGATTATAATTATTAATGGTATCTAAAAAATCGATCGGTTTTTGGATTTAATGTATTTCAAAAGATTTTTTGGATTCAATGTATTTTAGAGGAGCACTATTTAAACATGGAAAAATAAATATATAGCCAGAAGAAAAAGGCATTCAAGATTTTGGCTACTTTAATATGCAACTTTGCTGCAACAAGTTTATTGATATTATTTGCCGTTAAAAGTTAATTTTTCATCTTGGGTTGATCAACAGTAGCCTCCACTTTCAGGAAAAAAGACGTTAAAATTTTTTTTCTTCTGAAAATCCAACAAATATAGAAGAAGCATTGCAAGTATGTTGATTAAAGTATGTTAAAGCAGTGACGGGTTTAAAGGTGGGATCGTGCGCCCTCGCCATTCAAACAAAGTGGACTCAGTTTTGGAGCAATTGCAGATTTTTTTTGCTGAAATAATAATTAAAATTTCCACAATGGTCAGTGCATGCCCCTACTTTTTCTCTATGCGCTACCCCGGACGCTACAACTTCTCCGATTTCCTGGAATTGCAAGAAATGATGTCATACTCTGGACCCCACAAGTCATACGCCATGTCCAAACTCCACCCGGAGAGCTACTTCTTCGACTGCTCTTTCAGAGGGAAGCCATGCAATTTCAGGTTACGTTGATTGTGTTTTACCCGAAACTCTTTTTTTTTCATTTTCTCTGCAAATTAAATTTATGAAAGCCTATTTAAAAGCTTCTCTGATGTTATGAAATACATTGGATCATGGCAAAGTTAACAAATAACCAGATTTGAATAAATTAATTGCGATTGTTCGAAAATTTGTATGTTCAGAAAGCTGTTGTTCGTATTCACGAAGGGTAAGAGCTGAAAAAAGTAGCTACCGTAAAATGCTTCTCATAAATATTTTTTTTTGCCAAAAAACGTACTCCGAAGTTCTGTTTTTGGTAAATTTTGATACGTTTTGCGTTAAACATCGTCTTGTTTCGGCATTTTGCGTAACTTTGTGCTTTTCGGAAAGCTGCACCTTCTTGTTTGCTTTAGTGACTTTTCAGTTCAGAAGAGTGACTCTTATGGCAACTGTTTCACCTTCCAGTCTCCCGAATATTCTGACACGCCGCAAGACTCGCCAAAGGGACTCCCTGGTAAGTTGAGGGCTCAAGGAAGATTTCATTTTATTATGTAATTTTTTAGTTGCCTCCCCAGAAAAAACGCATTAGCAATAACAAGCAATATTTTTAGATAAAGCCCCAGGTAAGATAAATTGATGAGCCAATATAATTTCTTTTATGTGGGGTGTAGGGCTGTCATTTGAAACATATTTTTTACCGTTTCTTATATGTTTTTAATATTTTTGTTATCCTGAAGCTCTGAAATACACAAAAAAATAGAATATTTGACGTAGGGTTTGAATTTATCAGAAGTATACCAAAAATAACGAAGAATGAGATATAAGGTCGCTAAAAGAGTTTCGCTCAACAAAGTTTTCCAGTCTAGAAACCGACAACAACAAGATATCTAGCCTAACATCTTTGCTATAGTCACGGGACAAGTTGCTTTTTGATTTCAACGAGCAAGTATCTTATGAGATTCTGGCCTGAAGATTCTGGCCTGAATTAGACATTATCTCATAACCTGTTTTAGAGATGTTCTTGCTGTGTAAACATTTTCGCGAACATTACAAAAAAATTTGAATTAATGGGCTCATATTAGTTCTCTGGGAACCTGCTCAGCATGACTTACAACTTATGACGCCTAAAAACGTCAGATAACAGAATTGAAATAATATCTAAATGTTTCTGCGTTTCTAAAGAGCAAGTATCAGTTGCCTTAAAATCTTCGATGGCTGTCCTTTTCCGTTTTGCAAAAAATCACTGGACCAATCTTTCATACTTACTTTTTCAGAAACCAATCTAACAATGAATCATTTAGGTCTCAAGTTAAAAGTGAGGTTGCCCGAGACCTCCGAAAAAGCGAGAGCAGCCACGAAAGCAATCCGCATATCTGTTCACGATGCAAACCAACTGCCCTCTTTTGCCGAAGACAGAGGGTTGTTCACGCCTCTGGGCATCGATGCCCTTATCAGATTCAACCAGGTAAATTGGATCTAGATTCCTTCAAATTTGAACACAGCTCGTTGTTTCTTGAGTTTGTTGATAATTTTTTTTCGAGATAGTTGTTAATGACATAATAACAAAATTGTTGGTTCTCTTTTGTGTATGCTTTTATATTGCAAAAAATGAAACCTGTTGAAAAAAGATAAAGTTGAAACGAACTGGAGACATTTTTGCAAAATAATTTTTTTGTAAATAGATGCTTTTGATAGTATCAGAAACGTATTTTCCCGCGCACGTTCCTACAAAAACACTTTATATTGGGGCTCTCTAACTAAAAATGAACTAATTAATTGTATGAGGCTTATACTTTTCTTATTTCGAAAATAATATCATAGGGTAATTTTTTTGGCGAAAATGCGACATGCATCAGTTCTTCAGTTTAAAAATTTCGATGCTCGATTTTAGAAGGCACTTCTTCGATACGACAACAGGCGTGAACACTGTAGTGATGTCTGGCCTCTTCAGAGTCGTCAGCTGGATGGACTGGCATACAGCGACAAAGTGAGAGATAGTTTTTAACGACTTACCAAAGGCTTGTCTTATACTCATAATTTTACTCAAACTTATTTTTTTAAACATTTTTTGCAAACTAAATATCTTGCACAAATACTATGATTACTGATTGTATCAAACGATCTTTTTTCCAGATTTTTTGTAGCTATTTTTGATGTATTTGAGAATTTGATTTGCAGAATTTTTTATTTGATTTTAAGGTGTGTCGCAAACTCTGCATCGAGGATTCTCTCTACGATGAATGTGGGTGTGCTCTGTCTGTTCTCTATAAAAACATCTACCCTCAAAGACAGAAATGCATGCTGGCCGAAAATGGATCGCATCGTAAGTCAATTGGCACGGGGAAATAATTCCTCACAATTGGTGCAAGTGATTGGCAATAGGGGCACGTGACAATAGAAGCACGGTATAGTTAGTTAGTGACACTCTTTGACGCTGATGACGGCAAAGCTGGTAACACCTCTGACGGGGGTTCGTCTTTATCTTTCGACCGAAGTGGCCTGGCTTCTTGTTTTGACCGACTTTGTTTCAAACATGTCGTCATTCAAAAACTCACAGTCCATCCATAAAATTTGCAAACATCGAAACTTTAGCGCACAGTTATAACTGACGCTAACTTTTTGCATCCGTTGTTATCAAACATCAGACACATGAGCATCTAGGGTCTATCTTTAGTTTATCGAGAAGAAGGGATATTTCATAGCTTTTTTTGTTATACGTCTAATTTGACCTCGCTCGAGAACGACGGTATCAGATGGTAATTAATGGTGATTTAAAGTAAAATCTTCGTCTCCGAGACTGAGAGTTGTGATTTGCCATTCGAGAAGCCTAAACACCATAAAAAATCAATTATGATCCATTTGCTTTTGTATGTGGAGGTAATCGACAAGCACAAAAATGCCCTAATGTCTTCATGTCTAAGTGCTCAAAGTGTTATTTGACTCAAAGTTCAATTTACTTATCAGTGTTGTAACAATTTTTGTGAGAGATTAGATGCAATCTTTTCATGATTGCTCACTCCACAGTTTTCAAATGGTGCAATTTACTAAACTTAGATTAAGAGACAAAAGGTTTTGTCTGTTATTCATTCATTCTTTCAGAGCGAATTGTTTCAAAGCTGTTCATATTATGAACATAAAAGTGTACATTTCAATAAATCAAAAAATTGAAACGATTCTAAACTCGGCAGTCGGTTTGCAATCCACAAAAATGTCTGCGTCGCCGCAAATTTCTACTGGTGGTTAAAGAGAGTTGCAAAAAGTAGCAACAGACAAAATTAACTAAAAAGAGCAAATAAGCTATTTCAGAAAACTTTTTTTTACAAAAGCTAACTTGTCAGACAGAAAGTATGACTCAATGTTACGTAACAATTCAAATTTGCATCCAAAAGTGCTCAAAATTGGTAGATTGCGCTTTGTAATTATTTCTGTTTGTTCCAACTTTTTGTTACTAGTTATATATTAGTAACCAAAATGCACCCTCATCAATTTGAAAAACGCTCTGCTTTTTCGGCCAAAAGCCAGATGTAAGGAGCAAACCCTGAGTTTTCTCATAAACATCCGTCAGGGCAAATCTTTCGAAAAAATAGAGAAGTTATAAGACACTCACAATATTCCATTAGATTACTGAGAACCGATTATATGAAAATGGCACAAATAATCTTTTTTCCCTTGCTATGAAGTTTCATAACAAGTGTTTTTTACCACACTCCGGGACTAAATAGCAACTTTTTGCATTTATATGTACCAAAAAAGTGCCGAAATAGCAAAACATTTTTTTTTATTCCATGAAATTGTATGATAGGCTTTTTTCATGATTAAATTGCAAAAAAAGCTTCAAAAGTTTGTGTTTTAATCTCAAAACACAATAACTAAGGATTTCTATCATAAAAAAGCCATGTGGGTGGATGTGGTAATTTTTTTTCAGTTATTCACAAATGTTTTGGTATTTTAGGTTGAACTGGCGGCTTGTATAAAACAGGCAGAATTATTGATTAAATAGTTTGATTCGAGAATATCGAAGGAGTTTTTTAAAGGGTTTTTGCAGGAGTACTGAACGATCTTCGGAGAAAAATCTGTAAAGACTTTGAATGCTTTATTTTTTTGTTTAATCATTATTCAGGTATTCTCGGACAGTCGGGAGTCTTCCAGCAAAAAGCAAATCTAAATTGTCTGAGGAGTTTTCGGATGTTAGGAATTGATTTCTGTTTGGAAATATTGGACAAATATAGATTCTAAATTTCTGTTTTTGTGAGCCTTTTCTAGAGCAATCTGTAGATAAGGAAGTAAATTAATTGCAGCGTTCGATATATTCACCGGGTCTCCTTTTACAGTTCTCATGATGTCATCCACATTCCTCTTTGAAAATTTTTTCAACTCTGAAAGTTGGTATCGTTTTTTCAACTCAGCTTGAAGAGCGAAACCAGATCATATTGGCTACTTTCTAATAATTATAAGACTGAACCATACTCTACTTTTGATGGAACCATTGTAGCCAACTTTCACAGCTCTTCTTTGTCTTTAGAATATTTCGAACATTTTGGACGGACACCAATTAAAACTTCCATGGGCTTGCAAATCTCGGGAATCTTTTTCTTCAGCACGGGTTTGCAATCTTCAACCCACCAGTTTGCAAAAATGAGTGCAAGAGAGGAGCCTCCTATAGCCAAACATATTATTGCAGAGCTATTGGGACCTTTAATTTCAAGCTGTGAATGTTTAGTTTTACTCGAGGAAAAAATTTCGGCGTTTTTTTTCTGGCATTTAAAAAGTTCAAAAGTTCAAAAAAATACGTCGATTCAATTGAATTTTTTTTAAAACTGTTTTAATTTCATGATTGTTGTGTTTTTCTCTCGCAAAACTGTTATCCAAAGTGCCTCTTTTACTCTGACTGTCGAATATGCCTACTTTTATTTTTTTAAATCAGATCCTTTTATCAAACCACGCAAAGAAACTACTCTTATTTGAAATTTTTTTGATTATTTTAAAGACAACGGTCGGAAAATTCTGTGCTTATTGCGCAGTAACTGGATATCCTTGTTGTTATAAATTATGGTTTAAGCTAAGTTTTTAAACTTCCAGTTTTCTGATTTTTTTCTGAAAAATGATGAGATCACAAGACAATTTTGAGCGCAGAATTTGAAAAAAGTTCCTTTTTTCTTCGAGTTCATTGATGTTTTTTTTCTGTTAATTACAAATTTTGTGAATTAAAACGTCATTTAGCATAGCGGTGTGGGGGATGGGTACATTTTTCTTTCCCTCCACCATCAAATTTAACAACTCAATTTTTTTTCACATTCTCCTATTGTTATGAAAATTGACGCGCGGACAAATTGGACCATGACAAATGTTTTCAACCTTCATAATTAACCTTGTAAATCTACTCATTACATCAAAAAATTGATGACCGTGCAAGGTGGGGGGGGGGGGGGGGGGGAGAAAAAAAGACGTTCAATTTCAGTCCCTAAAATTCGAACTTCTAAAAGCCAAAAGATTTGTCTGCATCGTTTTTCAACTAAGGTCAACTCACTTTGAGAAAAATATGCATTTTAATATTCAAGTTTAATGCGTTTTGTCGGGATAACTACAATAAGCACTGTATAAAAACCTACCGAATTAGAGAAATCAAACACCTCTAAAGCCAGCCAAACGACTTTAGGCAACATCACCAGACAAATTAGAGTGGCCCAAAAATTTTCAAACTAGTGGTTCAGCTTAGAAGGAGGAGGAAAACGACTTAATTCCAATTTGTGGAATGGAATCATAAAAACAAAAGTAGAAGAAAAGTGGCCAGTGGAACCACTTAGTGAATGTGGAAACCATTTTACAAAAGTCGTCTTTTCTTCTTAGATCTCTGTTGGCAACAGTACTCCTCTCGTAAAGTGGACCACGCAGTTCCTCATAAGTGCGATCAGAGGTGTCACTTGCCATGCCGGGACACCCAGTACGAGTTGGCTCTATCGGCTGCCAAGTACCCACACATCAACTCAATAGTATGTCTAGTTTGTTAATTATCTAGTTAGTCAAGATGATCACTCAGAATCATAAATTGTTTTTCCAACTCACAATTTGCTGTTTTTGTTTTAATTTTCCCTCTTTTTTCTTCCGGTAATTTTTTTGATTTGGTTTTTGGATAATTGTTGGTTTTATATGACTGATGATGGCAGTGTTGGCGAAAACGTTTTTCTAAAACAATGATCCAACTTGTTTTGCAATAATCACTCAATTGCTCGACCATCACAGGCGCATATAGGTCTCATAAAATGAGATAATTTTGGAGCATTAGGAAAATCCAAAAAGGCTGTTCGTTTGATATCCTCATATTTGCTCGAGCGAATTCGATATCTTCGATGTTTATCAATTTCTATCCGGAGTATTGATTTGAAGCAGGATCAGATCTAGAAATTTATCGGTTTGCTGAAATCTAGTTGATCTTTGTGAGCCGTTTTAAACGAATGTTGTCAAATTTTTGTCATATATAGTATCTAATCATATATTACGTGTTGGCGCCATTGGTTAGCTATGTGTCTGGTGCGGCTACTAATTAATTAATACCTGTCAACCTTAAGTTTAGTCTGCGATGTTTGGATTCACTGTTGTTAACCGTTAAAGAATAAACGAGTCAATCTTAGTTCAGTGAATAAAAGATATTGAATCTGCATTTTTCACATGGCGCAGCAAGCAGGACAAAGCGCGGGATCAGGAAAAAATCCACTGGGAATTACGGCATTTTGGCCGAGTAAATGTACGGAAGCACCAATGTTGTGGGAGCATTGGATTACACGATTCACCTGGGGTGTAATAGCAAAACATTCATTCAATCCGACGGCATTTTATTTTGCTAATACGCTCACTGAGGCGCAAATTACCGGTCTGCCAGAGGAGGTGAATGGGAAAAATCGAGTGGAAGCAGAGCAGACACTAATTTCTAACCTCTATTTGTGTTTGGGGGAACGTGGACAGGACGAATTACATAACAGGAAGCCCCATCTGGACCTGGCGACTACCCGATATCCACGGGTTTTGGATGAATTTGAGAGTGTTTTCCGCAAGGAAAGAAACGAAACATTCGAGACGTACCAGCTACTATCTCGGAAACAACGTGACGGGGAAACGCTAGAAGAATTTCACTCCGTTTTGAGTGGACTAGCCGCTAGATGCTCATTGGGAACATTGGAACGACGGGTGTTACGTGATGTATTCATAGTAAATATGTCCAACAAGGAAGCCCAAACGGAGCTATGCCGTTCAACTAAGACACCAGATGAGGTCTACCGGATTGCTTTGTCATATGAACGGGGGGACAAATACGCAAAGTCGTATAAAGTATCCGGTGGGGGACTTACTGCGGCACCAGCGGGTTCACTACAAATTAAAGCGGAGCCTATAAGCGCAATTAGAGGAGGGTACCGTCGTCCATTCCAAAGAGGCGGACGTGGATTTGGCAGGGGCGGCACAAGGGGCCGCGGAGGAGCAGCAGATCGCAAGTGCTACAATTGCGACCAGAGTGGTTTTACCCCGGACCACATTCCAAAGTGCCCAGCAAGAAATGTAACCTGCAATTTTTGCAAGAAAATGGGACACTATGAGCGAACTTGTAGAGGACGTCGATCGGCGAATAGGGGTCGCGTAGGCATGATAAATGAGGATGACACCAATGGCGGGACTACCCAAGATTATCCGGAGGAGAGTGCATCCAATTACGGAAGTTCTGTCGGATGGGTGACTGATTCAAAGACACCGGCACATGGATGGGATTCGGATAGTTCGACGGAGTATGTGGTTATGTCAATTCGGCGGAAGGAGGAAACGGAATTAAAAGTCGCGGGGGCCAAACTAGCCTTAAGAATCAACGGCAAAGCAACTCAGGCCTGGATTGACAGTGGTTCGCCAATATCCATCTTCACTATTGGGGAACTAAAACGTACCCTGGGGACAGTCAACGTACAATTGAAACCGCTGAATCCACAAGACGACCAATTCCGCGATTACGGAAACAATCCGTTAAAATTTCTGGGCAAGATGCAAGTCACGCTTCATTCCAATGGATGGACTTGTTCGTCGGATATAAACGTCATCGGAGGGTGCCGACCGTCTATTATTGGCAGGGATTTAATGCCCTCACTAGGACTGATGCTGGTACAAGCACCATCGACAGAAGGGGTGAAAAGCATACATACCACGGAAGGAACTGTGGCGATGGACAATGACCTGGATGAGTGGCAGACACATTTCTGTAAGCAATTTCAACATCTTTTTCACAGGGTAGGGCGCATTCGAAATTATAAGGTGCAGGCAGATTTCTTCAAAAACCTAACTCCAATTCAACAAAAAGGTAGGCGAGTACCTATAACGTTACAGGAAAAAGTCGATAAGGAGATTGAAAAACTGTTGGGACAGGGTCATATCCAAAAGTTGGAAGAATGTTCAGACAAATACTTTGTTTCACCTATTGTCATCACCGTGAAAAAGGACGGTTCTGTTAAACTTGCACTGGAATCTAGAGAACTAAACAAACAAGTGCATAAGAATAAATACCAAATGCCCAATATTGAAGAACTAATGGACATCGTAGGGCAAACTATCAGCGAACGCAAACAGGGGGATGTCTTTTTTACAACGATGGACCTCACGTACGCATACGGCCAACTTCCTTTAAATGAAAACACTAGTAAACATTGCAATTTTTCATTGGTGGGAGGCCGTTCTACCGGTACATATCGATTCAAAACAGGATTCTACGGATTGACAACCATGCCGGCGGAATTTCAACGGGTCATGGATGCCATTCTGGCTGAATTTCCGTGCGCGCATGCTTTCATTGATGATATATTAGTAATTTCGAAAGGTACCAAGATCGAACATATCGCTTTAGTGGAGAAGATTTTAATGAAACTCGATAAAGAAAATATGGCTTTGAAGCTAGAAAAATGTCAATTTGCGAAAAATACTTGCGAGTGGTTAGGCCACCGGATTACGAAATCAGGGATTACACCAATGGTGCGGAAAACAGATCCAATTGACAAATTAACCGCCCCGAAAACGCTCTCTCAGTTGAAATCGTTCATGGGGTCAATCCATAGTCTTCACAAATACTTACCGGCGTTAGCGGAAACTTCGGCGCCTCTACGTCCACTTCTAAGTAAGAAGAACGAATTCCTCTGGACAATTGACTGCCAAACAGCGTTCGAATCGATTAAGAAACAAGTCGCGAACATTGTCGAACTTAAGCATTTCGACGTACATAAGGATATACGTATCGTGTGCGACGCAAGCCATAACGGTTTGGGGGCGGTACTCGAACAACTAGGCACCGAGGGTTGGCGACCAATATCATTTGCGTCCCGGTTTTTAAATGCGGCCGAAAAGAAATATTCGACGAATGAGCTAGAAATGCTGGCCGTAGTTTGGGGCTCCGAATACTTCAGAAATTATATTTTCGGGCGGAAATTTACTGTGGTGACAGATCATAAGGCTTTGCTATCTTTATTGAATGGGAACAATAAGAGAAACAAGACTATGTTCAGTCGATTAACTCGCTGGATTGATAGAATTATCCCCTTTGATTTTGTCATTGAACACATGCCTGGGGCTAAAATTGGCCTGGCGGATTACCTTTCAAGGCATCCGGTGGGGGAAGCCACGAAAGTTAGTCTTTATGATAACACTTTCACAGTGGCAAAATTGAAATCAATTACCAATTCACTCGGATATATTGATACCAATAAAGGGATCATCAAAGCATCAAAGGAATCAATTGTTTCAGCTAAAGATATTCAAGTTGGAAACGATAAAGTTAACATTCCACCGGAAGAGGGCGTCAAAACGCGTGACCATCGGTGGACCAATCAGAAGCCACTAAAACGAATAGCTGAGTGTAATGACCGGGAAAGCGCAAAAGTAGTAAAGTCAATCACCGAATGTAAACTACGTGAGTCTGATATTAATTCCACAGTAAACAGTAGTCCTCTATTTAACAAAACAAATTATCGATCTAACAAAATACACATATCTACAATGACATCACTTAATTTGAAGAAATTAAATAAATTACTGTTGAAACATCCAGAAATAACGAGCGGCAGTAGCAGCGAGGTGGAGATTGTGGATGCACGATTGGAGGCGGAGACGCATCACACCAGGGACATTCGATGCAACACAGTCATCTCCATTCCTTCGGCATTCGGAGGTGAAATTTTTCCGGCGGCATACCCAGCAGGAGGGAACGTCATCATGTCAGTAATCCCCCGGGACTGCAAGATAGTCCGCAAAAGCAGTGCACTGCCGGAGCTATTCAACCTGAAGCTCGTGGAAGCGAACTATAAAGGGGACCCCCAGATGCGCGCAATAAAAGAACTGGTGGAGAGTAAGGACCCGGATTTGGAAAAGAAGGTCAGAGCAATGGGTGCCTACCTCGGACAGCACACACATGATTTCCACGTGCGGGAAAATTGTCTGTGGATGGACGAACGACTCGTCATCCCCATACCACTCAGGAAGGCTGTGGTTAATCGGATACATGCGTTTCACCATGGGCGCTCGAGTATGTTCGACGCTGCGAGGGATGTCTGGTTTCCCTATCTCCACCGGAGTTTAGTCGCAGCTGCGGATGGATGCAAGGAATGCACCGATGCAGGTAAAAGCCTTAAACCATTATGCGCCAAAGGTGATGTTGGGAAGATCTATGAACCACGCGAGCCGAACGAATGCTTACAGCTTGATTTTTGGGGTCCAATTAGATACTTAAATGAATCAAGTAAATATGTCTTGGTAGCGGTTGACCGATTCTCACGTTGGCCCTCTGCAATGATCTGCGGAAATAATAAAAGCGACAAGGTCCTTAAGTTCATTAAACAATACATATCTCAACATGGTGTCCCTAGGAAAATTTTTATGGATCAAGGTACAAGTTTCACATCAAATGCAGTTAAATCATTTTGCAATTCCGAAGGAATTGAAATAATTTATTCACCCGTGAATGATCATCGCGCCACCGGGTGTGTCGAACGTACCATTGGCAGTCTGAAAAACTTTGTCTTAACTTACGCTAAAGAAAAAGATAGTGGAAACTTAGAATCAATGATAGAACGAGCCTTGAGTGCTCTAAGATTTGCCCCAAATGCTACTCTCAAGATATCGCCGTTTGAGGCTCATCACGGCAGAGAAGCCAATACGGTACTGCGAAATCTTACGAAAAAGCCAACCCTGCAAAACCTAAACTGCGCCAGAGTGTTGAAACAAAAATCTGCCTATTTAGATTCTACTGACCCCAGAGCTCCGAGGAACATCCAACCCATGGCAACGGATTGGGAAGAACGATCCGACGTGGAGTTTGATGTCGATCATATGAATCACCCTAGGCGACTGACGCAAAATCAACTAGTTTCGGCGGCGGATGGAACACCAATGGCTGACGGGGACGGGAAACAGGCTGGTGGGGGAAAGTCTAAACAGCCAAGTAAACGGACCGAACTGTTGTTCCAACGACTCAAGGATAGCAATAAAAGGTATAGACCCATAAACCAAAAAGTAATTCGCGAATCTAAGCACACTATAACTCTAGCAAATGGCTCTGTACTTAGGAAAAGTGGGGTTGCCGAGAAAGTCATCAAATCGAACGCGCCAACTACCGCGAGTAAGCTAACACTACCACTCCCAGCTATGAGTGCATTGCAACGTCGGGCGGAACTAAAGCGAGCAGCGAACGAACAGGCGGCGGGGACGAGCACACAGAGTAAAGCAAGCGCACAGAGTACGGCTGATAACAGAGTGCGAGAATTTTCACCAGCGGAGGAGGACGATTCGGACTCGGAGTACGAGCCAATAACAATTTCCAAACACGCAGGGAACTCAACAATAGCACCAGGGCGAGATGTGGAAGGAAATGAACCAAAAATGAATAACGATGTAGAAGACGGAATTGGAAGACCAAACTTATCCGAAGGAAGCGGAGCTGGAAAATCCCAGGGGGTGGACACGGAGGTCCAGACTATGAGCAACGAGCAAGGGGGGAGTGCCCCAAATTTGAGTAACGAAGGACGAGGGGGGAAACATTCTAAAAAGAAAGGGGAACGAGTACGACGCTTACGTCTCGTATCATACTCGAGTCAAGAATCAGAAGATGGAACAGGATCACGGAAAAGTACCAGGAAGCGGACGGCGGTATCTAAATTCGGCGGGGTTATGATAGATAGTATATTGAAAGCGAGAACATCCAAAGGAGAGGAAGACAGAGAGCGGGACACTAATTGAGCAGGAAGGCACATTTGAAAGAGGGAGTGAAAAAAAAAAAGGAAACTCAAGAAACTTGTTAAACTAAAACTCATGCCCAGGGAGAGGGTGGACTTTCGCTGGTCTAAAACTCAAACATTTCCGTTGGATAATTTTAAAACAGTTGTTTGAAAATTGATTGTTGAGGGAATGTCATATATAGTATCTAATCATATATTACGTGTTGGCGCCATTGGTTAGCTATGTGTCTGGTGCGGCTACTAATTAATTAATACCTGTCAACCTTAAGTTTAGTCTGCGATGTTTGGATTCACTGTTGTTAACCGTTAAAGAATAAACGAGTCAATCTTAGTTCAGTGAATAAAAGATATTGAATCTGCATTTTTCACAGATATCTTCGATGTTTATCAATTTCTATCCGGAGTATTGATTTGAAGCAGGATCAGATCTAGAAATTTATCGGTTTGCTGAAATCTAGTTGATCTTTGTGAGCCGTTTTAAACGAATGTTGTCAAATTTTTGGGGCGGCGTGAACTCCCCTCTCTTAGTAATGCCGAAAGCATCCTGGGATATTATTGGGGTTTGATTGTCGTAAAATAGTACCAAAGGGAAATTCCATAATTTCTATTTATTTCATGTAGGTTCCAGAACTGTTGAGTTTGATGCGCAGCAGCAACTCCCTCGTGCGAAACGACTCCAAGACATTCCTGTCAGACCTCGCCCACCTCTTCAACAGTTCACAATACCCCTCATGTGAACAGATTTTGAACAAAAACCCAGATGTTAATGTATACAGTCTGGTCTCTTGTTTTATTCACTATAATCCACTCAAGTGGTTCGATGAGATCAAAAAACAAGATGGCATCAATGATTTACTCGACAAGATAAGGTGACTTCTTAATTATAATTCAAGGGTTCGAGAGCAAGTTAGGATTCCGATCAGGTGCGGACTTAGGGTGGGGGGGGGGGGGGGCGGACGTCTTCCTCCCTCAGGGATTCGACCCCCTGCCGACCCAAAGGGTCCCCCCTTCGGTACTTTTTAAGAAATCCATTTTTGGCCGACAGACCCTAAAATTTTTCTAAAGGCGCCTCGGGCGCCAATATATACTAACTTTGAGGGGAGCGCGCGCCCAAAAAAACGCAATTTTTCACCTGTTTTTTTTTCAAAATATTGGCCAAAACAGCGTTTTAATACTGCTTTAGGAGAGCTCGGAAAATCAATTTGGTCGACCTAAAAAAAAGGTCGTCAAAATTTTCGAAATTTTTTTGAAAATCCGCCCCCTCCCCCCCTCGTGAAAATCCTAGATCCGCCCCTGATTCCGATTGACTGAGTAACAACATTCATGGTACATGGTTTTTGCTTCAGATAAATCAAGTTTGCTGATTGTTTTTTTCTTCCCAAAATAATTAGCTGGTTTGTGTTTTAAAGCAGAAAAAGGAACCACAGTGCTTTAAGACATGAAGATGTTCATTGCGATAAGACCACTATTTCACGAGGAAAAATACCAAGAAAAACCTGTTCGACTGATAACGGCTAACCGTTTTTGTGCCACTTTATTAAGTCTTTCATGCCTTTTTTCTTTGTTGTTTGGTTATTACTTTATAAGTTTTAAGTTATTGCAACTGAATAATTGTTCAAGGTCGATGTATGCGACGATTCACGTGACAGAAGCAGTGAATGACCATGAAATTCAGACAGAAAAGCCAGAGATACAGGTTGGTACATTTCCATTGTTATTTAGAGTCATGAACGTAGTGAACACTCTTTATTTAGGTCATGGTGATTTTTTTTGTGAAGAAGTCTGAAAAATTGTTCACGATCAAATTAGATTTTTTGCGGTTTGGCGTTTGAATTCTTTTTTAGTTCAGCTCCTTTCGTTTAATTAAAGTAAGGCCAATTTTTATCGAACAGCAAAAGTGTAAAGGTCTTGAAAAACGTGATCAATTTCTAATTTTTAACGTGGATTTTAACTTTCGGATTTCCCAGCGGAAACATTTTAGCCTATTGATCCAGTTTTCTCAAGTTGGGTCAAGTTGGATAAAGAGTGTCAAAAAAGTCTCAACCTAAATTGTCCTTGAAATTCAAAGAACTTCAAGGGCAAAAATTTTAAAAACATTTATAACTTGAAGTTTTTTTCTAACATGTTATTTTTTTTCTGTTTCTTTTCGTTTATGACTCCTTTCATACTGTCTGCTGGCTATGTTTCGCACAATTTGCTAATGAGAACTGAAAACGTCATTGGCAGAGTTTTTAATTTGGTCAAAATAGTAGTGGTCTCCTTTTCACTAACCACCAATCAGTTTTGCCTTTGGAAGCGTTTCTTGAAGTTACTATGCTATTTTAGTTAATCAATGCTTAAAGTAGGTTGTGATACCTTTGCCAAATTTAGTTCATTTCAGTCCATTTCACATAGTGAAGGGAGGAACTATGGCATAGATAGTGCTTTTTCATCCCAATTTTGACCACAGCAAAAATCGTAGTGGCGGCATATTAAAACCAATCGGTCGCTACTCACCAGCTGCAAAAAAAATTAAAAAAAATTGTCTCCGTGCACAGAAAACTGGATTTTTCTGTTCTTCAAGTCTTGAAGTCTGGATTTTTCTGTTCTTCAAACCAAAACGACAAAAGGAGAGCTTCAGTTTCTGCAGCAATTTGTACATTCTTTTGTTTGACCTAATTTTTTAAACCATTTTTTTGACCTGTTGTAATCGCCCCTTACCGAAAAAAAACTGCAAATTAGGGGAAATTGAAGAAAAAAAACGTTTTGGATTTTTCTGGACTTCTTTAATCCAATCGGTGTTGTCGGTCTCTTTCTTTGTTATTAGCACAGCAGTCAGCTATTCATGATTTGAATTTAATTCAAAAAAAATTTAAATGATGTTTTTGGGTAATCGCAACTTTGGTAGATTGTTGTTTCATGACATACGAATGAATTTTAGTTTGAGAAGCTGCTTGCTGAGATCGGAGGAGTTCTTGGACTGTGGGTCGGCATCTCAATAATCACACTGATGGAGTTCCTCGAAATCATCGTGTTCTCCGTTTACTTCCTCCGCAGCTCCTGGAACTGGCTCTCCAAAATACCCAAGAACGCCATAACCACGTCCAAAAACAATGGAAGTACTTTAAATCCTGTTACGCACAATTTCAACCGCGCTTCTCCTACGAAAAGGGGTGTGGAACACCGAGAGTTGACAACTTACGTGAATTGCTATGTTAAAGAATCTCCATCGGCCAAATCTTCACAGCAAAGTGGAAACGATCTTTTAGTTCCGAGGTCCAACAGACAAATTCCAGTTTTCACTATTGAAAAAAAGGCCGAAGATGAAACAAGTTTTGATTAAGAAAGAGACATTGGATTTTATACATAATTTATTGAAAAAAAAGCACGTCAATGTTAGTTAAGTCGAATTAAAATAATTTCTGTTTTTCTTATTGAATACTTTTTCGGCTCTTGTGATTTTCGGCACTCATTGCAATTACAAAAATCTGCTGATTTTTTTTTTTGCATTTTGTCTAATGCCATGAACATTAGTATCTGGTTTTCAGTGCCTAATTAGAAGCTCATTTTGATCTCATATTTCATTAATGATTACACAATAGATTTGATAATTTCAACCCGTGAAATGGAAACGGCAGAAAAGCCAGACGGTGGAGCTACGGCTATTTTTGAAAGACGCAACAGAGTTTTTCTGTAAGTTTGTATCCATGTGATAAAATTTATAGCGAGAAAATGTTTTCGGTGCGAAAGTCACATTAGTTATGAGACTGATTGTCGCAGCTGGAACAAAGATTTTTAGCACTGATGAGCATATCAGAGTTCGTGGAAGTATTCAAGGCCATAGACCTGCTTAAATAACTCGAGTGGCATAAAAAACGACAGGGTGTCCAGAGAGTGTCACGAATGTTACGGCTTCCAAAGACACACTCTGATTTCACAGCTGAAGATCAAAATTCAAACTCCTAGCGGGGTTTGACATCAAGAACAAGATCTGAACATAGTCGCCAGCAAAATCTAAACATAGGCAAAGGCTCAACTTAGTCGAGAAGAAAGCTTGATCATGATCTTTGACCAGGATAAGCTACAAATGTTCGGCAAACTCCTCGAAAAGTTTTAACTGCTAAATTTAATTGCCTTTAAGTAAACGGATAAAAATGATTGAACCAGGAATCCAGTTAGAAAGAAGACTTAAAAATTGAAACTCATCAGTCAACTTTTGCTTAATTTTTGAGTTCAAAAAGCACATTATTGGTGTGAAATCAAAACTGCCAATGTTGAAAGAGTGAAGATGGCCCACACGGCCGCTAAGAACTTATCAAGGATCGAACAATTCATACGGCTTAACATGTCAAAGTTTTTTAATCAGGCTCTCAGATGGGATCCCAGGCGCAGCTCAAGAAATTTCTCGGCACGTGAAATCCATTTTTTTACTATTGAAATGTTAGTGACATCTTTTGAACAAAACGTAGTTTCAATTGAAAGTCAAGAAATAATGCATGCTCAAATGTGTGTTCATAAGTTCTTTTGAAATCGCGAAATTCCAATTGAATCACGCTCAAAATGGCCATGTATAAAAAACTTTCATATGTCGACAAACGACGTTTTTATCGAAACGCATTCGCGTGGAGAAGATTGTAAAGCTTTGGCCGACTGTTTAAGAATAAATCGGAACACTGCGTATACAGTTTTGCGACATGGGAGATATAAAAATTTACCAAAAGTTGGACCATACAATCGAAAAATTGACAAAGAGGTTATTTTGGGCGCTATTGACATTCTGGAGGGCAATCCACAGATGACGTTGCAGCAAGTGAATTTTGCGTTGAGAGCGCGCTTACCCCAAAAACCTAATTTTACCCAACAAGAACTATTAAAATCATTAGAAGGGAGAATTATCTTTTTCAAGATTGCGAGAGATTGTACTGCAGAGCGTAACAGCGAAGAAAACCTAGAAGATCGTTACAACTATGCATTGTGGATCATGAGCCCTGACATCATACGTTCGCGAAAAACTGTTCTGGATAAATTTGGAGTAAATATCCACATGCGGCGTACTCAAGGGCAATCTGCTAAGGGTGACAGCGTTTATAGAAAGGTCAGTGCCCAGAAAGGACCCAATGTTACAATCTTACAATCAGTTGCGCAGTTTCCACGGAAGGCCTTTTGCATTATCAGGTAATTCAAGGTGGAATGAAGAAGGAAATTTTCAAAAACGTTCTCGAAGTTCTATGTGGAAACATTATCCTTGACGAATGGACGATGCTGATGGATTTTGCGTTTTTGACAATGCTCCCGGGCACAGAGGAATCGAAGATATGGACCTTAGTGGAATATCCCCTCTGAAGAGGCTCCCAAAGTACAGCCCATTTCTAACTTTGGTTGAAGCTGCAATTTCTGGAAAGCGGCTGTGAAACGAAAACTGCACGAAGAGATGGATTTGATTATCAACGCTGATGCCCTGAAGGAGCCAGGACAAACACTTCAGGATTACCGTTTCCGTCATGTCAAATCTATATTGGAACGAACAAATTGTGATATTACTCAGCAGAAATGTGTTGGTTGGTGCAATCATACGATGACATATATTCCGGATTGTTTGGCCAGGAATAAAATAGATGGATGAACAATGGATGTTGTATAAAAACCGTTGATTCTGCATATTATATTCTGTTCTTATTCATTTGAAATAACATGTTTTCAATTGAAGACACTTGTGAGCACTCCATCGTTTTTCTATTCTTTAGAACTTACGAAATAAATGTTTTTTCAATGGAAGTTACCTATAATATTTTTCAAATTACCGATTGTTCAATAGGCTTTGAAAAGGTGTAATATCGAAGATTTGATCCAAGTTGTCATTAGGTCGAAGGTCGACAGATACATATTCCAAATTAAAATGTTTTAATCGCCGCTTACAAAACTACCCAAAAACAATTTTTCTGCGCAGCTCTTCCAAAACTAACTGTCTATTTATCACAAAGTTTTTGAATTCAACTAGGCCAAAAATGACATTTTTCGCATTTTTTCGAAAGGTTTTGACCACAAACTGTGTTTTTGACCGATTCTCGCGCTCAACTTTAGTTAATTTTGGCGCTAAGAAGGTTAGGTGGTCTTGGTTGACCAAAATTCAATTTCGAATAATGGCTCAAAAGGATCTTTAGGTGGCCAAGGGGCCTAATCCCTGGGACGTGCTGCACCCTAAATCTGCTACTGTTCCTTACTGGACACCAAAAAATTGAAATTTTTTTGATCTGATTTCGAGTGATTGAGGCAAGTGAGTAACGTTTTTTAGATGAAAATTAATCGTTTTTTATTACGCTTAAAAACACTTTTGCGCTTGGAAACAAGTTTTTGAAGCTTTGTGTAGCAGTTCCTTGTCAAAATAAACTACAAAAAACTCAAGAAAGTCAATTTTTTTTCGGATATAACTGTTTTGAATTGTGATTAATGTATTAAAATCACACCACGCTAAAATAATCTCACAGTTTGGGAAAAATTAATGGTTTTCGATGTTATTTAGTAAAGTAAAGTTTCTTGAGCTGATCGGACAATTTTTGTTTAACTATAGTTGATTTTTCATTTTTCTTGGATTGTTTTGTTTATTTTTTTCCTCTATCTTTGTAGCAACCAATGAGAAAGTCAAGCGATATGAATGAAATTGAACTTCTCTGTCTTCATAACAATTTTTTAAAGCAAAACGATTGGAAAAACACTTTTTTAAAATAAAATTGCAATTTTTGTATATACTTTTTTAAGTCTTCATTATTTTGTAATCAGTTTCATGTCGGAATTCGAAAAGTCAAGTGTCTCGTGAACTATCTGAAATTTTCTGGCATTAGGTAAGTTGTCTGGCATTGAGCAAATTTGAGGAAAACTATTAGAAGCTATCAGATGGCAAGAAGAAACTATCCCGCACTGATTAGTTTGATGATTTTTTTGGACAGTCGGATCAAAATTTTACTTGAAACATTAGTTGGTGACGGCATGTCTCTCAGTAACGAAGTCTATGCACATCATTTCTTCGGTTTTGTGATAAATAAAAGTAATGAATTGTTACACTAGGTCTGAAAGATTTTTCGCCATCTATTTTGAGAAAAACAAGCAGCCGTTTTCTTTCATGAAATGACTATCATGTACGCAAAGAAAGTGACGGGAAAAATGTGATTCTTGTGTGTGATTAACTGAGATAAATTTTTACTTGTCTTAACTTTTACTTAAAATTTTTAACTAGCTCTAGTGCACGGAAAACTTCGTGTCAATTGAGAAGTATTCTAATGTTCAAACTCATATATTAATTTTATAAGTAAGAATACAAAAATTTGCAATTTGCTAAATGAGGAAAAATATTTCGCGATCTGCCTTGCGCAGTTAACGTGTGGATGACAATTGAAAACAGCTCAGAAAAAATTTCTGAATAAATTGAGACAAGCTATTCACTTTTAATGTTTTGTTACAAGACTCTAAATAAATCAATTTGTACTTAGCATAGCTTGTTGTTCAATTTAATTTTCAATTTGTTCAATTGCGTTTTAAATTTGCATCAATTGTGTAATCAAGATTTTCATAGACTCTAGAGACAAGTCTGGACAATCAGTGATCTGCCTTGATTCACTTGGCCATGTTAAAGTCTCTATTCGTTTGTTTTTGCTTTTTTTTCTGAGATCAGCACTCCAAATAACCATTTTGACTTTGTGTGTTTATAGGTGATATGAGTGTCATAATTTCAAATGCCAAGATTTTCGATTTTTCCACTAAATGTTTATCAGTTCTTCAATTAATTTTTTGGTTTCCCCTTTTTTTAAATAATTAAACATGGACTCTATTAAGAACGCGCCTTGATTGAATTGAGTATGCCTTTTAGTGTATCTTTAAAGTTTTTGCCTAAAAAATAGTGCAGTTATTTGTAAAAAATGAGCTGTTTTGAAACGTTCCACCAAAAAACAGAAGTAACAAGTAAGTGCCTTTTGAGGAAAAATTTAGCGTATACTAGTGTTCTATCAAATTCTAAAAATCAACAAGACTGCTCGTATCAGGGCGAAGCCCTGATTGTTCCGACTGCCTTTTAAGGTTTATGGAGCAGCAGTAATAACATAAAAAAGATATTTTACCTGTGATCATTTTTCGTAAATTTACGAGGGTTTAAGGATTGTCATTTTGGCCAATTTGGGACAATTAACGCGCGATATATTTCGCGCTATTAACGCGTAAGCGGAGAGTTAGTCCGTCTTAGAAATCGTTACAAATTGGTTGAAAGAAGCTTATTTGCCATAACTGATTTTGTTACAAGGAGCAAAATCTATCCTTTTGTACTCAATATGGCGTGTGGGGGGATGATTTTCATTAA